GGGAAGGCCAGTCGGCTATTGCGAGTAGCGCTTGGAGTTTCGGAAGTTTGACGCAAAAAGTTACACTTGGATCGTGTTGGTTTCGTAGCGTACAGAATTTAAATATTATGTTTATTAAGTTCATAATTTTCTTTGCCTATTCCCTATTTTAACCATTTCTTTAGACTAGTAAAATCGGATTATGCTATGTAAATTAATTTACCCAAAGTGTCGCTTCTTTTGCTGGTGGTCGCTGAGCTGACGGCGTGTCGAGAACGACCTATCGCACACGTTGCACGTCAGTGCCTCGTCTGAAAAATTATGTAATTAACTTAAAAAAACGGAAGAAATATTTACGATTATGTGAATTGAAGTACTAGGACTCTCATATATATTACGCATGTTTATATATTTCAAACATCGGAGGAAGAGTGGAGAAAGTTTATAATTCAAACACTACTCTAATTAGCTTTATATCGAATTTAGTTCACTGGGCATTCATTAGTAGATACTAAAAAATGTTCATTGTTTTCTATTCTCATTTTAACTGATTTATATGGTTTACATTTTCCAGTGATCCCTAATTAGTCGTTAATAGAGTAGACACGATAATAATGGTAAATTAATGTGTCGAAAGTAGTATTTTTATATTGATTTGACTATAAACTTCTGTTACCTTAAACTCAAAAAGTAAATAAAACAAGATTTCTTTGTAATTATTTTATTATATACAAATAAAAATAGTACAGTACAAAATAGTAATATGGGTAGATGCAAACAATCCATCTGTTGAGAAAAAGATTCACTCCCATTATTATTTACATTCTACATCATATAAAGATTAAAAAATAATTAACTAATGGAAAGAAATGCTGGCAATGAACAAACTTTTATATTTAACAAAATATTAAATTGAGAATTTGTATGAGCAAAAAAAAATTTGAAGTTTACTGAGGCCAAGTAAGCATTTAGGACTAATTTAAACTATATTTAAATGAAATCAATTTATTTTGTGACTGGCAGTTATTAAACATTTTTAATGCTACGATTGAAACATAGAAGAGAATTTGAGAAAGTGGATGCATTGAAAGTGTTACTATTTATTGATATAAAAAATCCCCCATAAGTGGTATAAAAATTAAACATTAACCATAAACCTTAATTAAATTAATGTGCGTTTAAGATTATACTTTAGTATGTTTTTATACAAATTTAATTTATACTAAAATGTAAATAAAACCATCACAATGAGCATAGGACATCAAGTCTAAATATACAGTTTAAAAAATATTTTAACAATTGCTGCAGCTTTTTCACTCATTTCAAATTTCTAACACAATCATTTTACTTCAGAACTGTATGCATTTAAAAATATACATTTTACAGTCAAGTTGTTTATAAAACAGCAATAAATTATTTCATTATCTAATATCGTTTTTTTTATCAAATAATAATGATTACTAAATTTTCTATACTATACAGTGATTATTTTCTGTTTACAATAAAATTTTTTATGATTAATTTTTGTTCATGTCGAACAAGAAAGTAATTTATGTTATCTATAAATTTAATTAAAATACAAAATCGATTGGTCAAAAGTGTGAATGAAAAAAGAAAATCTGATGGAAAAGGAGGAAAAGACAATAAGCAGAATTTCTTTTCCAGATATGTTGTCATAAAGGAAGGAATACAGATGCCGATAAAATGTTAACTAAACGATGTGAAGAGTGCCAAGTAGAGTATCCTCTCTTATCTCCTTTAACTAGCATAGCCTGCAAGTATGCCAGCTACTGACATATGTATTTCAGCCCTAATACAGATGCTATAGACAATGCATACAAAATTTAAATAACACTAGTGATTTAAAAATTATGTTTTTTTCATCTAATAGCTGACAAACTTATCTTCCTTAGAGCGGGTGCACACCTTTGATGAAGCTATTGCACAACTGTTGTGTGGTTGTCAATTGTTTTGCAGCAAATTCAACTGTTTAGTTGCACAACTAAAAATCAAAGAGAGACTAAACAGTTGTGCAAAAGTTTAGTCAAAGGCGTGCACTCTCTTAACATGTGAACCAGTATACCTAAAACCAAATTCTCTGTCCATTTCGGTTATAAATGCCGAGAAAAATCCATACAAAAACTCGTAAATTTTCACTGTCAGTCTTTGTCAGTTTCATTAAGTCAATTATAAGCACAACTCAAGTTACTCCACATTTAAGCACAAAGTCCGTAACACAGCACTAGGTTTAACTGTTCGTTATATTGGTAGCGTATTTGATACTGATGATTTGAACATGCTGCCAAAGAACCTCATTCCGGAGGAGCCACCAGGAACATAGCCCACCATCATCCAGAGTAAAGCGAGGACCTGAGCTACCGCACATATAATCGTCAATGGAGTACTCTGTAGGTGCAGTGCGCAGTACAGTGTTGCGATTAGTGTAGAACCGTACAACAATGTTGTTAGTGCTCTTTCCTTTGAGAATAATGACTTGAAATGTGACCACGGTCCATAGAGAAAACTGAAACTGTAAAAACAATATGCATTAATATTTACACAGAATATTGCATACATTACGAAATTCAATTTAAATCATGGAAAAACACTCAAAATGTTTAAATCATTGTCTACTAGCTTTCGCCCGCGACTCCGTTTGCGTGGAATTAGAATTGTCTTCTTCCAGACAAACCTCTAGATCTATGCCATATTTCATTAAAATCTGTTTAGCCTACAACTCTAACAAGCATTCATCCATCTAAACTTTCACATTTATAGTATTAGTAATATTATACAAAGAAACTTAATATTATTTTAATATTTTTAAGTTTGATATATGGTTTTTCCTTTGATTCACAACAGGAAATTGAACATTAATATAAAAACTTATTCACAATCTGACACAATCTTAACAAATCACGAAAAATGACCTCATCTTATATGAGAATAAATTAAACTATTCAATACATTCATAACTAAGTTTAACAAAATCCTTCAACACATCCACACAACTGATAACATATGTAATTAAACAAATTTTTTTATTACATTGTCATATAATTTGGGAGTAAAATGTGTTATGCAGATTGACAATAATAATTTTTGTTCAATAATTTATGACAAAACATTTGGAAATAGATGTTTAAATTTGTAGTAACAAAGAACTGTGGTTAGTCATTTCTACTGCATTTAACATAAAGATTGAATATAATGGAGACAGTAGAAGTTAAACAATACTTGTTATATTTAATCACTTATTATCAGATGTAATAATATTTTCAATACATAAGTAAAAATTACTAACCTGAAAATGAAGAACAAACTTCCCAATGTAAATAACAAAGCAAACTTTCTGGCTTGTAACAACAATATAGGAATGTATAGAAAGGACAGTATGAAACACAGTAATCCAAAGCACATACAAATTCCAAAACCCATAAATCTTTGTGTACGACTCTGAAAAAAAAATATTCTGTTACTAAATATTATTTACACCGAAGAAAAATACTTTGATATGTAATGATTGCTTCGTGTTATTCAAATTAAAACATTGTACTTACCAAAGTAAAATATTCCTTTTGAACATTATCAAACCATGTACTTGTAGAACTAGTACTTGTAGGGCTTTCATCGTTGCTTCGAGATAGGAAACTAGGTCTCGAGAAAGACGGCAAACTAAATTTGTAGCTCCTACGACTCTCGTTTTGTAGCAGATAGTCATCCAAATCGGACTTTAGAGTCGCCATTGTTACGTATATTTGACTTAATTATTTATTGTTACTTTTCGAAATAATTAAATAAAGAAATTAATCAAAATTCTTTATTATTAAAAGGGAGTCGCCCACAAAATCTTTAAAAACTCAGAAATTAAATACCAAAATGACGCAAATTGACGCAAACAAGGAAGAATGACACTTGACATTTGTAAATGTCATACGCTGGCACGTTAAAATGTTACCAGCAACAGCAATAATTTTCAAATTACTTTATTAAATAAAAGGTTCTTAATTTTTAACTAAAAAACAAACAAAATCTCTGTTTTGTTTTATTTTTACTACAAAAAAATGACTTTTCAAAAGTTCTATTCGACAAAGCTTATTCCTTGACTATCAAAGCTGATTTTTGTTTCTTTCGCAATAGTGGGGCCATTTTAATTGTACACATTTTAATAATATTTTTGAATGTAATTGCTCACCATAATCAGTATCGTCACTAAAATCGTCGTGTGCATGGCGTCGTATATTGTTGTTGTAGCGGTCATGCGCACAGGGCGGGCACACACCGCGCGTGTCCCGTTCCTCTATGTCGGTGCTACTCGCATCGGAGTCCACTTCGGCTTCCTCGATGTGCACTTCTTCAGCTTGTCTGTTGTCGCATTTTTCGTTTGACGAAAGTTGATTGTAGTTTTTCCTTAATGGTCTCGGTTCTGTAAAATAAACAATACTGTATTAATATGAATTAATATGAACTAATATAATTCAATAATTTTTAACATATGCAACACCCGCGTATTTTTAGCTCGCTACTAATTGCGAGGAGCGCTAAATTTTAAAACTCTAGTTAATTTTAAATTATTTTACTGGCTTATTTAAAATATTTTGCTAAACATTTTAAGATGCTTTCAACATTCAATGCGTTCGTTTTGTTTACATTAAGATAACGGAAAGTGAAAATAAATTAACTCATTATTGGATGGGGAATTTTTTTTATCGTATATTATACGACTTTATCTATAAAAATATTTATTTAGGGCTAATTAAATAAGCAAATGAAGCGTAATGCGGAGCGCAGTGTTATATCATAAGTGACGAGTGATGAAACTTGTCGTGTTTATTGTTCTCAACAATTAACAACGAGGTTAATTACAATTACGGATTATACAACAAAATATTCGTAAGTACACATTTTCATTGAGTATTTTTTTAACGAATCATGTAAAACGTTTAAAGTTTTGTAATCATCGACAAAAATCATGATATTATGTTGTTTATATCCCATGTTTCGGGATATAAACGAGGATTCCTAGATTAATATAATTTACAGTTGTCGATGTTTCACTTTTGATGAAGTACTTTATTGTTTTAGACTATGACTGATGGGCCTAGCATTGCTGTACTCGGGGCGGGAGTGGTCGGGATGACAGTAGCTAAGTTACTACAGGATGAAAATAGAAAATTCAACATAACAATTATCGCCGATTCCTTCAAAGAAAACACGACAAGCGCGGTGGCTGCTGGTATTTTTCGACCTGGGACGAGTTTTAGAGGCCCCACTGCAGAAATTACTAAGAAATGGATCAACGACTCTTGGTATTTTTGGCAAGATATTTTGAAATCATCAGAAGCACCCCAAGCTGGTCTAATGTCATTTTCCAGTTACATATTTTCCAAAGAACATTACAACCTCACTAGAAACCATCTTATCGAAGATTTAGTACCAATTTATAGAGCTGTAGACAAAAATGAACTCAACATTTGCGGCGAAGGATGGAAATATGGATCATATTTTTCGACGATAAAAATCGGTTGTGAGAGATATTTACCTTGGGTGGAAAAACAATTTTTAGAGAAAGGTGGAAAAATGATAACAACCACTGTGGAGAGTTTTAACGCGCTGCCTGAAAAGTTTGATTTGGTTTTCAACTGTACAGGTTTAGGGGCGAAATTATTGTGCCACGATCACAATTTGGTTCCGATTCGGGGACAAGTCATAAAGGTGAAAGCACCTTGGTTGAAAACGGCCCTATACGGCGATTACGATACGTACATCATACCTGGGTTTGATGGAATAGCGACCCTAGGTGGGGTTAGGCAATACGACAGTTATAATATGAGAGTTTGTAAATATGACAGCGCCGCCATATTGGAGCGGTGTTGTGAAATGTTGCCAGCGTTGAAAAAAGCGGAGATCGTTGCGCATAAGGTCGGTTTGCGGCCACATAGAGTGCCGGTACGTGTGGAGCCGGAGATAGTGAGCGGTGTGAAGGTGGTCCATTGCTACGGTCATGGAGGATACGGTGTGACATGCGCCCCGGGGACGGCTATCGACGCTGTACGCATCGGGTTAGATTTACTAAAACTTAATGTTAAAACTAAACTATAATTTTAACGTATACCTAAAATAAACTAAGATTAACTACAAAATGTTTACGATAGATTTCACTTGTGTATTTTTAATCAATAGAAAATTTATTTGACTAACAATTGATTATTAAAACGTTAATATTTTAAAGTTTATTGAATGTTATATTATTTTAAAAATTAAACGTTTATTAAAATATGAAACAAATTATTTATTATCTTTCCTAATTTTTTAAAAGCCCTTTAAAGTCTGCGATGCGTCAAAGGCGATTTAATTAAAACAGTATTCACTGGTAATACATCTACAAAAACTTACTATGCTTAGAAATATACGATAATATGAAGTTTAACATGAAAATTATTAAATAATCTTTTAACCTAGGCAAGAGAAGTCGCGGGACGCGGGACTGTAAAACGCCATGGCTCGATCTTTCCCCAGCTTTACGACGCTTCATTTCGCTTTATCGCCCGCAGCCTTCCTCTAGTGCCACTTAAATTTTCTACTCCAAGTTTTTGCAACTTTACGACGTTGTTATTTTTGCCAATAAACTAACACTCCTGCAAATTTAGCATTTCTGAATTAAGGGAAGGTGATAAACGATAAGACACCTGTGTTCAAAAAACTTGAGCTAGCAAAGAACTGTATGAACCGAGGCAAGATATCATAGGTCCATACACAATTACCCAAATCTCTTTGAAATTCAGGAGCGGTAGCGTTCAATTAGGAAGGTAAGGTGTCATCAATAGAAACGTGAATAATAATTTTAAACTTGCTGAAACGATATTTGGTCACGTGTAGACTTTGTATAAGAAATTGACACTTAGGGACTTAGGTAACCACTAACGTGCCTGAGTGTGATAGATAATCGTTAGTTATAATATCATAAGTGAACAAAAATATCTACGGTGCTAATAATAAAATGTGTAATTAGTAAAAGTAAGAGTGTTTTAACATATTACTAAATTGTTTTCCTAACAAGGCTTTTAATATGATGAAGTTACGAATAAAGCGTACGTAAACTATGTTTTAAACATAACAATACAGTACTTACTAATTTTAGTCTGCGGTATGTTTAAGTGAAGGTAACTTAATTAAGTTGAGAGCGGATTTAAGTAGTGCTCGAGCTTAATTGTATGTCTAGTTAACTATTAATAAACTGCCATAATTAGTATGATTTTCACGTGTTTTATTATTTAGTTGAGAAACTGCGCACGTTCAATTAATTTTATAGGATCGTTTTACTAAATTACGTACGTTTTGTTCTCAAACAGTCCCAATAAATAGACAGTGAGCTGTGGTTTGGGGGCTAGGGTTTGAGGGGGTCGGTGTTTGGGGGGTGCTAACGACCTCGTAAACTGTGCGATGTGCCGCGGGCGCCATGTTACGGTGGACGGGATTGTGTTTCATTACGATGGGTGACTTAATTAGAATTAAGATATATTTGTATGTATTTCTATATTAAACATACAGAAGTTATCAATTGGAGACCAAACTATAAAGATTTTAAAATTCTGTAATTACCTAATGTGGTAGAGATTGCAAGTATCAAGAGTTAATATATCAAAGGAGTTTTTTACAGAACCGTAGTTAAACAACTAAAATATAACTAGGTTATACGACAGTAACATCCATTAAACAATTTCCCCTCTCTCGGAACTTTGTAATGTGTCTTCCGGTGAACGAGCCTAGGGTCAAGATCAATAAAGGGTTAAATAACAAGATAAATAACGTTTTATTTTCCCATCACTATTCACATATTCCATAGTATCAGTTTTACAGTGGTAGAGCCCGCTTTAACATCTTCGCACGAATGGGCCGGCTCGCCCGGTGTAATACCACGACCACACAGAAAACAGGCGTCAAGTGGAAGCAATTCCGCGTTTCGTCTGATGAGTGTGGTGCAGGAGGCCTAATTTTAGTCCCTTTCCCTTTCCACTCTTTTCTTAAGAGGAGAGGCTGGGAAGGAAAAGTGGATTTGACGGTGGAATAGACGCATAGGAAGGGGAAATATCCTCTTTAGGTGCGTCTCCTCCTCCCTCAATGAAAGGTAGGCAACGCATCTACAATTGCGGATGTTTATGGGCAGCGGTCGCTTTCCATTTCGGTGGATTCAGATGGCCGCTTGCTCGTATCAATGGCCACCATAATCATCCCATCAAGCACATTGATGGGTATGGCCTAACCGGACACAAATAAGTATTTAAACTAGATATAACTATCAAAGAATTCGTGTATATTCTATAGTTCGTAGATAAGAATATCGTCAAACAGTTCTGTGTAACGGCATAATTGTAATTACGACTATAATATGTGCAAGGAATCATTTATCCAACAAAGTAATTTTAACATAGACGTAGTAAAGAAATTACGTAAACCTTGTAATACTATTTATTGGCATTTTCTTCTCGTACCTAAATACATAATATTTTTTATAATATCTCTGTGTTTTTAATAAATGGATTCTCCCTGATTTGCTTTCTATTTCCTGTTATTTTTATCGGCACATATAAAGTGACCAACTGTAAACGGCAATAAAATGTAACAGTTTTACGTTAATGGATAGTTGTGTTTCGTGTTATTTATGACCCACTTAATTGCTTATGTTATAAAACAATCCGTCATAGTCATAGCGTTATAGCAAATATACATCTTTATAGTTTGTTTAAATAAGATAGATTAGTTTGACAATTCATTTCAAATGTAGTAGGGATGGGTTGTGTAAAAGTTATGAATCTTATCGATTTGCGATATCTATTCTTATAGAAGTTAGAATCGATAGATTCATAGTTATAACTTATGAATCAAAAGAAAAACAATGTTTTCTAGAATTAATAGTGACCATTACAAATAATGAGAGTAAATAAATGTTTGTTACTACTATAGTCGTACATAATCGAAATGGATGTCGCTATTATTTCTGTCATCGCTAAATTCTCTACACTATAATCAATACTAGAATTGTCCTCTAAATTAGTTAATAAGAAAATAATAATTTTAGTTTTAAACCGAATATCGATAGTTTATAATTGCTCGCTGTGTGTTTGTTTCGTCACTACGATACCTGTTTATTAAGCACGGCATATGCTTCATATACGTCATTTGTGAAACTAATCTATCTTATTAAGACAAAGTATTAGAAAAATTGCAAAAGAAAAGAACTGCATATTGTACAGATTTAAGTAATACTGCTTGTGTCAAACTAGTTGAGAGCTGAAGCTAGTATTGTGGGAATGCGTGAAACGGAAAGGTGGTTGTTTTTGTGACACATTCCAATTAAAAGTTACAGTTAGAATGGTACCGTTTGTGTTTGTCGATAAATATTCTACAGTCTTGCTATTAAACTTTTAGTACGACCCGTATTAAGCTATGGTTAATTAATCAGTTCCGAATTCTAGAAAATAACCTCAAAATTATTGATTTTGTCCGATATTCAGTGTTGTCCCATTAAAAATTCTTATATTATGGTATCATTGTAATCTAAAGATTATATTGAATACATCGATATATTATTTACTGTTAACAACAATGTTATACATCTACAATATAACACAATATGATGCGATATGAAGCGATACAAAGTGATACAACACAATTCCAATTAGCCAAGCTATCAGAACAATGTCGGATTTGATCAGGCCGCGATCTATCGAGGTCGAGTGCATACAATTAGTGAATTTTGCGATTGTATTTGCAACCAATTAGTTACTGAAGTTATTGCGATACATATATAAAGAAATATTATACGAGTGTAGTTCGAGGCAACTGAGAACTTTGTTTTTGTAATTAATTTCAGACTGAAGGTTATCTCGGTTTGATAGTCTGTACAATGGAATCCACATTAATATAACGATAGTTTGAATTACTATCTATTATTAAAGATAATGTTGTAACATATCGAGCTCTTATTGAATAATTTATCTTTAGTTATAAAGAGTCGGTATTGGTGGCCTCAATGAGAACGCAATACTTTACAACACATACAACAATGTTTGGTTAAAAAAAATGCCAAATCATTACACGATATAAATCTAACTATAACATAAATAGTTAAACTAAAAGTCTGTTACAAACCTAAACAAACAAAACTCAATGTTTTTAAAGATAAAAATGCAAGAAACAACTTAAACAACGAACAATTTGGCACAACTGCGGAGTTCCGTTATGCCAAAAGTTTACCATCGTGTTTGAGTTGCGCATACTTTAACTTCAACATTACACCTGTTTGAGCCATTATAACTTCGTCATACTGCTTGCAAAATGAACATAGGCGTAAGGAAAATTACTTCTTATGATAATTAAAGAAAATTATTCAAAATATAGAACTTTCCTACTTTCATTTCCTTGTTTTTCTGCTTTATACTGAAAGTTCCACGTGATTCCACGAAGAAATCAATTCTCCTTTTATAAATCATCTTCCCCTACTTTGTCTTACTCCCGTAGGGTACGCGCAACGGGTTTTCCTCCTCCAAATAACTCTATCCTCCGTCTCATTACTCCCTTCTTGATCGTGTCACCTTTCACGCAATCCATCCATCTCTTTCTAGGTCTACCTCTACCCGTGTACCTCCACCAAACTAACGTCCTTCTTGTTACTTCTCCTTCTATTACTATAGATGTTAATCATTAACATTGTGTACAATAATTACATTTGTTAATCATATGTATTACATTCTAACAAGTCGACGGGTTAATTCAGCACATCAACAAAGCGATAAATCTGAGGGGGGTCGGAGGGTAGATGTAGAGTCGGCTTGCGGCTGACAGTTTACAGCACAAAGCCTAATTAACTGCCGGAGATAGATCAAAGACAAGATTGCGTACTACCTGATTCATGTTGCTTTAATAAATAATGTCATGTTCTAAGAATATGACAGCACTAGGTATAATGTGACTATAGTTTGAATTTTTTAAGCCTTTGCAGTCTAGATAATGCGTTGAGCTTTAGATTTAATTTTGCCTTATTTGATGTCTGAAAATCTTTATTTCTGACCAATAAAGTTTGATACACCTGTGTTCATCCTTAACTTAATAATAAAATAAATACACTTTTACTAATACTGTTAAATTGTTAAATAAA